TAACTAACTAACTAACTAACTAACTAACTAACTAACTAACTAACGAGAAAACCTCAAATAGTATTTGTATAGTTGGAAAGAAACAAAAACTTTGCTAGCTCAAAGGGAAAATTTCAAAATTTTAAGGTGTTTTTCCTCAAAATCAGTTTTGTTTGTTGCTACTGCTCAAAAATAAGCTTCAAAAAATTTTCTTAGGATTATATTTCAGACAGTTCATTTAACGTTCATTTAATTAATTCATTATATTTTGACAAAATGCAAATCAAAACCCTATATCTGCCTAGTTCTCCACATTCCACATTTGGACTTAATCCTTGTTTCGATGTGATGGGTCACAAATACTGTTTGCATGTATTGAACATTAAGGTTTGCTTAGAAATATGTCTGTTGGTGTGAGAGAAGTCCAAGATTTCTGTTAGTAAAACTATTTTTATTGTTGCTATATAAACTCTAAAGAAACTACACCTGATCTTTCTTTACTTTTAGTGATCTGTGGTCTGTGTTTTGACCACTGACCTCAATGTGTCAGTCTCTTTAAGTCTGTCAAGACCACAAGCTGGGACTACAACTCACCCCAACAGTCAGCGGTTATTTATAACACCCTGCACCACAAACTAACAAACCACAGGTGCTGAAGGTCAAAACCTCTCGAAGATCATTTAAAACCTCCTGCCTGTCTAAATACTCTGATTTCTTTCTTCATTTCTTCCTTCACACACAGCCTCCCCCTGCCTGTGTCACCGTGTCAGCCACACTCGCAGAGAAACAAATACATCTGGGCTTACTTCCAGCCGCTTGGCCGACTGATGAATCTCTTAAAAGCTTCCGTTGCCAAGCAAGAGCGACTCTAGAAGCTGCCTCTTCTTCTCTCTCAGTTTGTTTCCTGCTCTCTGAGATCGACACAGCGTGCAGCGCTGAGCCTACTTACCAGAAATTTCACACGTAATTTTTTTAAAAATCAAGAGAAACTTGCAGAAACAAGGCATAGGTGGCAAAACTGTTTTACACCCAATTGCGCCCATTTTAGCAACTGCAACCTTTATTTTTTATTTTTATACCAAATCACACATTCCAAATATGTGTTATCTAATATATTTCTTAGAAAGGTTCAACGCCAAACAGCTTCTGTGTAAATGCAATCTAGTCATCCACAAAATATTACACCACTGCTGACCCGCAGAAACATTTTCAAAGAAACGGGGTCTTCCTAGTGCCTGATGGTTCCAGGAGAATTCTGATTATTTCTCAAAAAACAAACCACTTGTTCTTTCAAAAACACCACGACCCTTTTAAAAAAAGACAGAAAAATAAGTTTGAGCTGGCAGGAATGTGGAGGTTAAGCAATGAGGCTGGAGGTGAAAACAACAAAATAAAAGAAGCAGTCCTGATGCATGTCAGTAGTCCAGGTAAAAAATCAAAAAGAAAAGAATTGTATAGGTCTTCTGGACGGGTTCTTCTCTAATGAAACGTTTCGTCTCTCCTCCAAGAGACTT